ATGCATCCCGTTCGGCCTGCCATCGAGGTCCCATCGTCAATCCTGGAGTGATAGAGCCGATGAAGTGGGTGAGAGGGGGGTGTCCATGTACGAAGAGAAACTCAGTCGGCCATTGACTACACATTGAACCAAGCTTAGTTGAGGAGGAGGAGAAAGACATCGGAGCATGGGGGGTGTATCAACAACAATCTGAGTGCTCACTCGGGACCAAGGCTGGTATCTGCTGCAAAGCAGACGCCGGTTACTTTCTGTCAGTCAGAGTTGCCAAGAGAGCACATAAAAGGTTTATCGTGCGCACCTTTCCCATCTTCCGATGTCTTGTTTGCCCTGTCTTCTCTAGCAAGCACCTCTTCCCCTCCTTCATCGAGACCACAGAATCTGCTCGCCAAGTCACAGCCAAGCGGCAGTCAGTCACAATGGCGCTCGATCAGTACACCTACGTCTTTGCCATTGGCACGTTCTTTGCTATGCTCGATGCATACAATAACGGTGCTAGTAAGTACAGTCCTCCATCGGGCGAAAAGGCGCAGACAAGATAAGCGGTCTGCGGCTGCCGATATACTTTGGCGCTTCGAGACATCAGACACTGACTCGGCTCAACTTTCAGACGATGTCGCAAACGCCTGGGCGACCAGTGTATCATCAAGATCAATCACCTACAGACAAGCCATGATCTTCGGTACCATCTTCGAGATGTTGGGCGCCATCACCGTCGGTGCGCGTACGGCCGACACTATCAAGAACGGTATTATCCCCAACAACGTCTTCAACGGAAACCCCGGTGTTCAGATGCTCGCCTTTACCTGCGCCCTGGCCGCCGCTTCTTCCTGGGTCATGTGGTGCACGCGACACTCTGCCCACGTCTCCTCGACATACTCTCTGGTCTCTGCCGTCGCTGGTGTCGGTGTTGCTGTTGCTGGCGCCGACAAGGTCCAGTGGGGTTGGAACGGCGGCAAGGGTCTCGGTGCCATTTTTGCTGGCCTGGGTATGGCGCCCGCTATCTCGGGCTGCTTCGGTGCCATCATCTTCAGTCTCATCAAGTTCGTGGTTCACGTTCGCAAGAACCCCGTGCCCTGGGCCGTCTGGACTTCACCCTTCTTCTTCCTCATTGCCGGCACTATCTGCACGCTTTCCATTGTTTACAAGGGCTCTCCCAACCTTGGTCTGAGCAAGAAGCCTGCGTGGTACATTGCCGCCGTTACCATGGGAACTGGTGGTGGCCTTTGCCTGCTCGCCGCTCTCTTCTTCGTCCCCTTCGTCCACGCCAAGGTCATCAAGAAGGACTACACCATCAAGTGGTACCATTTCGTCTACGGCCCTCTTCTCTTCAAGCGTCCCGCTCCCGCCGATGCCGAGAAGGCCAAGGTTCCCAACTACGCCGTCGTCCAGGAAGATGAGCACGAACATGCTCTTCCCTCTCACGAGTCTGTGAAGTCTTCCGAGTCTGGCGATGAGCCCCTCAAGGAGACCCACGAGAAGGAGACACACGTTCCCCAGGAGAGGTCCCTGGCTGCTGCTGAGATTGGCCAGGGCCCTACCTACAAGCAACTCCAGGCCGAGGGCGAGGCCAAGTTGCACGCAAAGATGATGAAGAAGCGTGGTCCTCTCGGCTGGGCCATGCGCACCCTCCGCGATAACCCAATGGGTGCTGGTCAGATCTACGAGTTTCACAACATGAAGATCGCCCTCAAGCGTATTCCCGCCATGATCACTGTTGGTGCTCTCTACGGTCTTCACTACGATATCCACGCTGCCCAGACTGGCGTCGCTGGTACCCCCGAGGGTGAGCGCATGAAGCGCGTGTATGCCAGCGCTAAGAAGTACCCCAACGAGGTCGAACACACCTACTCTTTCGTCCAGATCATCACTGCTTGCACTGCTTCTTTCGCGCACGGCGCTAACGATATCGGCAACTCTGTCGGTCCCTGGGCTGTCATTTACTCTGCCTGGAGTACCGGTGACGCTGCTGCCGCCAAGGCCCCTGTCCCTGTCTGGCAGCTTGCTGTTCTCTCCGCCACTATTTCTCTTGGTCTCATCACATACGGCTACAACATCATGAAGGGTGAGTCTCATCTACATCAAACTCTAGATAGTCACGGCACTAACAGACAACAGTCATGGGCAACAAGATCACCTACCACTCCCCCAGTCGTGGTTCTTCCATGGAAATGGGCGCTGCGATTACTGTTCTTGTCTTTTCCCAGTACTCTCTACCCGTCTCTACTTCCATGTGCATCACTGGTGCCACGGTCGGTGTCGGTCTGTGCAATGGTACACTGAAGGCTGTCAACTTCCAGCGTGTTGGTCTCTTGGTCTTCTCCTGGATCATGACAATCCCCGTCGCCGGCACTCTTGGTGGTGTCCTCATGGGGCTTTTCCTTAACGCTCCTCACTTTTAAGCGCCATCAATTTTCCCCCGGTGGGGACTTCCATTTGATACCATCTTCACTAGACACATAATGTACATGAACGAAAAGGGGGTTAGGCACGGCATACAAATAGAGGCGGGTGGCATGTCAGTAGCATCAATACCACATTTTTGACCATTATAATCCTTGTAATCCGGCCAAGAACTTGGCGCAGTCTGGAAGTAACTGAGTGAAATATGTGAAAGCGTAGTCTTGGTGAAGGGCGTTTGGGAAGGAATCCCACCAGGGCCGGAGTGGGTGCCCTTCTGCGGCCCGTCCCACTGTCGAAGTCGATCCAAGCCCGACATGTGACGTGTTCATACAAGAAGATACTAGTGATGTAGCCTCGATCTTTGGGGTTTTCTTGGTGGAAGCAAGCCATCACCCTGTGGTAGATCATGATATCTCCGAAGACGATGCATGGGATTAGTACATGTAAAGATGCGGCACAAGGTAATACAGTACATAAGTAAATCGGACTGGAAAGGTTTTCAATCTATTCCCAACGAACTTGGCAAAACCTAAAATCAGCTCGTTGAAACAGAAGACAAGACATGAGTAGCTTCTCATCTCGTGATTGGGTGCTGAAATTGAAGTTGTCAAGACGTCGCGGGGTAGCGCCAAGCTTTTGTTGTGGCTATGCAAGCGTGGCATCGCCCATCACCTCAATTGCCCATGAGGATGCCAAGATTACACATTCCCACAGTGAGAGCAAGCCTTGAAGAGGGAGGTAGCATAGTGATTGAAGTCGGCAATTGATCGCGTGATCAACAGTGATCCTTCGGCTTGGCGCTCTCCAAAAGCTGTAATCACCTACTCTTCACAGTCTGCGTGCTTCTATTTTGAGATCCTGATTGGCAGCACGAACGAGACACGGAGCACATTTGATTAATTCACTCATACCAAGACCGTCCACTTGCAATGTCGCACTTGGCAAACCAGAAATGTGGCGTGATGAGAACTCAGAACACCGTTTTCGATTTGCTGTCCAACGTACCTCAAGGTGTGTAGTCAAACAAGCCAAGTCACCGCCAAGGGGAATATCCAACGTAGTTTATCCACATAAAGACCAAAGATCGGGCCTTTATATGGGAAAGGGCTCTATTATTTTTATCCGACCCTTGACTTTATCACCAAAGTCTGAGATTGTAACGAAGAATAAGACCCCCGTCGCGAGCGAAGTCAACTCCTTGAAAACTGCACTCATATGGAGCTTTTGCCATTCAATGTTTTCTATACAACTCTCAGCTCACGTTTTATCGAGTATTATACGCGGATGCCTTGTCACTTGAACCTTGAGTTCTAGTATCGGTGGGTGTAAGACTATGAAGCAGCAAAAGCCTCTTGTTGCTCTCGTTGGATGAAGTTGAATGTAGTTGGCTGAGGTGACCTCAGTCTTAAGTTCGGAATGATATTGTAAGATCAAGTTCTCAGGCCATCTGACTATTTTTGCCTCCCAATAGCCCACCCGTGGCAAAATGTGGGAAGACCTCGTCCTTATTGCCGACACTTATACGACGTTTGGGAAGATGGAATATAACTTTCCCGATGTTGTCGTATTCATTCTTCCACATGTATTTGCGTACAGCTTCTACTAAGGCTAGATGCGTGCCTTGTCTATGCAGAGTTTAGATCAAGCATAGAATGTCAGCCAATGTGGCCCGTAGCACAAATCATCGAAACTGTTGACTGCTGGACTCTGCAACCCTGAGCGGCTACGAGAAAAGCATCTCCTTTCGATCCTCGATTAAATTTGCTATATGACCGCTTGTTTGAGGCCGTGCATGCGCTCATCTCGATGAATATCATCGTGTGGCAGCGTGGCTCGCTGGCTTGAGTTGTCTGCGTGAACTCAGTCTGATGCATTTCATTTATCATACTTTGTAGAGACATACGACAAACTATTTGCTTGATATGATCAGCTTGCAAAAATCATCGCGGGGCGCGCGTATTGCTATCTGTTGATATAGGAGCGAGAACCTTTCAGTTGGCCGAGCCTGGTCAGTTGCCGCGTGAAGCTAAGACCATGTCGCTGAGGGGCTTTTCACTAAGTAATAAGTAGCAACGAAGGCCAGACTTGGTACAACACAATCCTGTCAAAGAGTTCGGTCATTCACAAACATGGCTTGGCCTTCTCGAGAAATTGGCTACTTTGATGGCCAAAGAGCAGTCAACAGAGCTTCATGCAAACAGGCACGGAGTGATCGAGCATTCATGCGGAAGTTCAACAAACTTGCCCCGTTTTATGCCTCAGAACAGAAACGCAGAAACATGGGGCCCATGCTCGATGCATCAATTATCGTATTTGATACGAGAAAAAGACGAATTCCGATTGGCAGCGGGCACTATTGGCTCCTCGTCAGTCCACTAGACCGCTTGCAGCAAGGGACCAGCTGAACTCGGCGGGGAGCTTCGCCGAGGCATGGAAGCTGTGAAACAGCTGCAGCTGACGAGTGACGGAGTGACGAATCCGACTTTTGTCTTGACAGATTTGCTGCATGCAACAACGTTACAACTATTAATTGATCGTCTACTTGATCTCGGGCAGTACCCTTGCAGAATCTAGGATTCTCAAGGACTAGATTCAAAATCGATCGCCTCAACGCCTGAGGAGCTGACTCGAACAACTTCAAACGATGCCAGCCGGAATCACCCAACTATTATCCCTTGCTCCCGGAGGACCCAGTTCCCAGGCCCCTCTCGGAGCTTTACACCCAAAAGTGGGGGCTTCCAGCACAAGCATCGATCCCAAACCATGCGTTGCCACAACATTCTCGGCGCCATCGTTGCTAGGAGCAAATATTATTTCCTTGGAAGCGTCTCTGGTTACAAACTTCAGCGGGCCTATACCTGCAGAGTGGAGATTCTCTCAGCCTGCTGTCGAGATACATAATGCCTCATTCTGCAATATCACCGTCTCTTACACTCACCCTGGCCATAGTGATGTTGTCAATGTCGAGACCTGGCTCCCATCCGAGGACTGGAACGGGAGACTCCAAGCTGTGGGAGGTGGGGGGTGGCGCGCTGGGAGAATGCTTCTGAGTTATACGACTATGGCCGGTGCTATCGCAGATGGTTATGCTACTGTAACCACGGATTCTGGACTAGGGGACGCCATGGGGCCGAACTCGTGGGCTCTGATAAGTCCAGGTAACTCAAATCTGTACGCATTGCAGGATCTTGGGTCCCAGACCTTGTATGACGAGGTAAGTGGGCATCTTTAGCCTTGTCGAGGCTTCGGCTTCGCTAATACGTAGGAACCTAAGGCAATCATCGCCAAGCACCTCATTGAAAACTACTACGGCAGGGAGCCTTCCTATTCGTACTGGAATGGTTGTTCCCAAGGAGGTCGTCAGGGTGCGGCACTTGCCCAGCGGTTCCCATCCATCTACGACGGAATCATCGCAGCAGCCCCAGCGATCAACTGGGCCGGGGTCCTCATCAACACCATGTGGCCCAGGGTCTATATGGACGTCACTGAGCAGTATCCTCACCCATGCGAGCTGCAACAGCTCACTGCACTTGCTGTATCTGCTTGCGATGGGCTTGATGGAGTTAAGGATGGCATTATCGCCGATACAAACGCCTGCAAGACCATTTTTGATCCTCACGCCTACGTCGGAACAGAGTTCAACTGCCTATTGACCGGGAAATCGGCCAATATCAGCTCCACAGCAGCCGCTGTAGCGGATGCGATGTGGACGGGCCCTTTCACAGCGGAAGGAGAGTCAACATACCTGTATGGCCTGGAAATGGGCACCGACCTGGTGTTCGGTGCTCAAACTAGCTGTACAGAAGATGGGAAGTGTACTGGAGTTCCTAACGCCGCTGTCACATTGTTATTGGCCTACTTCATCGGCAAAGATCCTGCTATCACTACCACGAAGATATCTTTCAAGGAACTGGAAAGAGCATACCACTCTTTCAGACAACAATTTGATGCTTACCTAGGAACTGATGACCCAGACCTTTCATCTTTCCGCAATGCTGGAGGCAAGATGATCACTTTCCATGGCTTAGTAAGTCTCCGAAAATCATCACCTATTATATGAACAGTCCCCATGTACATGTCAGGTACCTATCGGTACGGACTAACACAGCCTAAGGCCGATCCGACTATTCCGCCTAACAACACACTGAACTATTACAAGGACGTCCTGAATCATCAAGATGATGCACAAGACTTCTATAGATATTTCCCCGTCCCGGGACTGGGACACTGCTGGGGAGGCCCTGGTGGCGGTCAGCCCATTGCGTTATTTGATCAATTGAGGTCTTGGGTCGAGAACGGAACAGTCCCTGAAAGCTCTCCAGTGACCATTACAAAGCCGGACAATACTCATGAGAGGCAGGTTATTTGCCCGTTCCCAAAGAAGGCAGTATACAACAAGACGACGGCTGGAGACTCGGCAGGTTGGTCATGCGCTATTTGAACGATTTGGTGGCCTCGCCCGGATGAAAAGGCATGAGTAGTGTGTGTACTTTAGCGGATGGTCTTCACAAATCGACCTTGGGCTTCAGCTTTGAGACTATAAGGTGTCCTGCTGTACACTCCATATTACACTTATAAAGGCGCGCATCTCTACAGTCTATCATATGGAGGCGAGGTAACATACTTAGGCTAGTCATCAGCTGCCTGCAACAAAAGCGAGTTGTCACAAACGCTTCCTAAAACGGTAAATACCTTAAGAGGCGAATCCACGTATAGATGGGCACAAGGGGGGGAGGAGGGGGGGCCCTACGGCCCACCGAGGCAGTGCTAGGCAGGGGAGTTCATAACGCGCCCTAGGGCCTTAAAATTAGTGCCCCCCCTTTCCTTTGCCCTCCTTGGATTAATCCTCTATCCTTACGTCAACGCTCCCCTTCCCTCACCCTTGGGAAAAAAGAATCTTCAAGAAGCCTCGAGACCCCCCAGCCATTCACACATGACCTGTTCATCTCAGACGGTAGCTGGATCTAGGATATATCAACAGTGATGAGCGAACCGGACGCGAAAATTGCGAAACACGGAGATCCTGGCTGTACGTGTACGACGTGCCACATCACGAAGAGGCGATCACATAAGAAGTCCCGTAACGGGTGTAAAACCTGCAAGCGAAGAAGAATCAAGGTACGCAATGTGAACCTGATATTCCACTCTTATACTGACCTAGACACCAGTGTGATGAAGCCAAGCCCCAATGTGGGCAATGCTCGAAAGCTATTATAACCTGCGACTTCACCGCTTCAGCATCAATCACAGACCTCGCCCCAACTCATGATGTTATCGTCGAGACAATTTCTCATGGAAACTCGCGGAGAAGGGGGAGACCACGGAAAAATTGGGATACGGCATCCAAAGGGCTTAGCCCCCAAGAACCCTTGGAATCACCCGATAGCCTAAGATCCAGGTCAACCGACACAGCTCTTGCAGTCACCCAGAGAGGGGAGCAGCAGGAACAAGTAGCCTCGGATCTTTCTTGGATATGGACCGTAGATGATCTCGAGTTGCAGCACCACTTCTTGACATCTGACGATCTTACGTATTCAAAATCGCGACTCTGGCAGGAGAAAGTCCCCCGCCTTGCCTTCACGCACCATTACGTCCTACATCTGCTTCTCGCAATTTCTGCGCTACATTTATCCAGAGAGAAAGATGACTCTATCGAGTCATCTAGATATGAGCAGCTCGCAGATGTTCACTACGCCATAGGCCTACGCCAAGTGATGGCCATTATGCCAACATCTAATAAAGACTATGCTGGAGCACTTTACATATCTACTACGCTTGTCTGTGCATATGCATTCGCGAAGAAGCCTAGCCCAGAACACCTCTTGATAGTCTCAGACGGAGAAGAAGTGGCATGGTTCGAATTGCTTAGGGGTGTTCGAATTGTTATTACAACAATGGGATGGGATGCCATCTATTCTGGAGTCCTAGGCCCTCTCTCGGCCGCTGATGACGAGGAGTCACTCCCACAGCGAGGTCCCACGAGACGACTAGTCCAATGGGGGCCTGCCTTGAGCAGTCTTACAGACTTGGTATCATGCTCTGGCGATCCAGAAACTCCCGTATACTTGGGAATGATTCAGCGGATTTCGTCTTGCTTTGAGACCACTTTTGGTACGACTGCAAGGCCAAGGCTTGATTGTAACGGCAAGATGGAGGTCATTATCGGTTGCATATATAAGATCGAGGATGATTTTGTGCTTTGTCTAAAAAACAAGAGGCCCTTTGCACTTCTCATCCTGGCACACTTTGTTGTGCTGCTCAAGTCGCTCGAATGGATGTGGTACATAAAAGGGTGGGCAAGCCACATTCTTCATGGCATCGCACTCATTCTAGGGCCTCAGTATAGACAGCATTTGCGATGGCCAAGAGAAGAAATCGAGAGACTTGGCAAGGATCGAGATCGCCTTACTAAGGGAGAACCACTATAAAGCCAGTTGGGGTCTTTGCTGTCAGTCTTATCGTTTCTCCAAAGCACCATGGTGGCGGATGCCTGCTATGCGACATCGGATTATTTAATCAGCTACACAAGATCCTTGTGACCAGGCACACCTCCTGATATGACTTAGCACGCAGTCGGTCCAAAGTCGAGTCTACTTAGATAATTGCAGGAGACTTTCCAACGCCCCGCTTCGTGACTTGACGAAAGTCCCTACTTTGCTGCTCAAATCAATAGTTGGAGCGTAAGCGCCGGAGTTGCAAGACGAGTTGGACTTCCCTTGCATGAAATCGGCTGCCCGGATCGATCCGACACAGGTATTATCACATCATTTGCTTCTGTAGTTCAGCCTTGCCAACATGCTGTTCCCACATTTGGGTTACTATGACTATCCAATCATCTCATATTTCCAATTCACCGAAAAGTCCAACATTCTTCGGGGTCCGGCTGAGCCACATTGGCACTTCGCCCCCAACTCAGCTCCGGCCGAACGTCACCTCCGATTGGGCAACTGCCTCGAGATGGTGTGAGCAACAGCACGAGTTGTGAGGGTAGACAGGATCTTCTGATTCCCGAAAGAGTAAAGGTTCCAGTGGCAGACAAGCCTTTTGTCTTGACTGTAAGCATGCAGCTTTCAGGTGAGATCACTAATTAGAAACCGCAGAACGACCTTGCGTTGCTGGCAGTCGGTCACCTGTGCTCATGCTGTCGTGGAATTTGAACTAAAATCTTATATTCCTCACAACCTCGTGTGTCTGGAATGCGATTTGCAGATTCGCTTGTGTTTGGCTCTGAGCACCTAATCTGGTCGCCCGAGTTTCCCTCCCTAAGTTCATGGCTTGCTGCTTTTGAGCCCATCTTGTGAAACTACCCGCAAACATACATTCAATACTCAATCAAAGTCCGAATTCTCCGGAAACCGACTGTCGTCAGTCGCTTGTTGCTTCTACATTCCCCTTTACCTCTGCGTCAAGGCTTAGTGAGATTCATTAGCCTTTGGCCGTAGCCTGGTTGAAATAGCAAAGACTGAGTGGCAAACTCAACAGATCCGAGTGCCCTGTCTTTCTCATTACATCGATACAGAAATCTTGTTTCAGATTTGCTTGATCTCGAAGTTATCGACTACTAAGGTATGGTACTGAGGTGAAGTTCGATAGGCTAGACTTCATTTCAACGACAAACTTCCGACACCTTGGACGCTATTCGCAGTTAGGAACTGTTGTGACACTCCGCCCACCGACGACGAGAAATCGCGGTCTGCAATATGAGCCAAACTGCTATCATAGAGAGAGCGGCGGGACCGATGATGAAGCCCATTCGAGTTGCTGTCATCGGCGCCGGTGCTTCTGGTTTGGTCACAGCCAAGTACCTTCGACAGGCTAGACAGTACTTCGGCGTACCTGATATCGAGGTCCGGATTTTTGAGAGGGAAGACGGAGTGGGTGGTGTTTACAAGTATAAGGTCTACGAAGAAGCCGAGGTATGGCAGCCCATCAATCCTTCTTACCGCCGTAGATCATTCAATATGGGAGCCTCGCTTTGCATAACTATCTCAAACCATTCATAAAGTATGCCAGGAAAGCTAACAAAAGATCAAAAACCTTCTAGATGGTGTCGTCCAAGTATCTCACAGCGTTCTCGGACTTTCGTGTGTCAAAAGACCTACCTGACTTCCTGCCGGTAGAGGATTACGTTCGCTACCTCGAGGGCTTCTGCACCCAATTTGATCTTTGGGGCATTACAGAGACAAACACGGAGATTATTCGAGTTTCTCATACGGCCGATGGCCACCGCGTCTTTTTTCGCCGCTCTCAAGGTTTGGAAGTTGCAGAGAGCCAAGATGGAGAGGAGTCATGGGACTGTGATGCCATCGCCGTCTGCTCCGGTCTTAACAACGTGCCGTCCATCTCATACATCGAAGGTCTGAAGAACGTGAAGCATCTCCACTCTTCCGAAGTGAAGGAAAGAAAGCAGTTTGGGTTGAATACGTCTGTGATGATCTTAGGAGTAGGAGAAACGGCAATGGACCTAGCCCACCTGGCCGTAACTTCAGAAGCCAGGGAAGTGGTGATGTGTCACAAAGGTGGCTTCTTTTGCGCGAAGAAGGTACCTAGCTTATCTTCCCCTTTGTATCTGCGATTTGCTCGGTCTAGCATAGATCAACGCTGATTATCACAGGTCGTACCTTTACCAGTCGTCATGCAAGTTTGGAAGCCGGATCCTCACCAGAAGCCAGTCGACACAGCAATCGCAAGTTTTCTCGACACTGCGTATCTTCCAGAGCGTCTTCAACACTCCAACCTACTCTGGAGCGTGTACGACAAGACGTTCAAGGGTCTTCATTACCTCTCTGGCGGGACGGCGGCTGGCCCGGATCAGTGGGTCGGAGAGATTGAGGGTGAACGCAATAACGTTGACTCATGTGAGTAGTTTTCCAGAGAGGAGATAGTATTGGCTCTATGAGTGATGTGAGCACGAATAGTTGAATCGGGTGTATGGCTGACTTGCAAAGTGTTTCTGGTCAAGTCCGACCGCGCGCTGCCATATCTCAACGAGGGAAATCGGCCGCAAGACATTTTCTCTCGCATCAGAGCTTTTGTGATGAATGTTGAGTTGAAAAACACAAGTGGCAGAAAGATATTGACGGCACCTTGGCCATTGGCTTTCCGGGACGATGGGACTGTTGTGTTTCCGGATAGCAAGAAGCGTGAGCACGTTGAAGCGCTATCTCAAGTCATCAAGCCCGACTTGGTGGTCGCCGCAACTGGATATGTGCGTCGGTTCGATTTCCTGGACAACGGTTACCCGGAACCCAATGAGCTGGATGTACGCGGGATCTGGAGGCGCGGAGAGGTGACTGCTGGCTTCATTGGCTTCGTACGGCCTGGCATTGGTAGGGTCCCGGTTGGTTGTTATGGGTGTAAGTCTGCCGTGCTAACACCATCTATTCAGGAGCCATCCCGCCTCTCGCTGAACTTCAAGCCCAACTATGGGTTCTTAACCTCCTCCGGCACAAGTACCCTCAACAGATGGCGCTGCATGCTCCTGATGCCAGCCAGGGAGAGTCCAACGATGATGCTATTCCCCACTATGAGATCGACTACGCTCTCAAGGCTCGAGGCGGGCATGACTTGTTCAAGAGCAAGCACGGTGTTGAACAGGAATCCTACGCATACCAGCTTGCTCTCGACATGGGCAGCGTGCCGACCTTTTCTTTTATGAAGCGTCAGGGGTTCAAAGCATTTTATACATGGGCAATGGGATCAAACTTTAACACCAAATTTCGTCTCATTGGTCCATGGAGATGGACAAAGGGCGCTCTGCCTATCATGCGCGGCGAGCTGTTTGATGTTGTCAAGCAAACAGGGGGTGGTGTCTGTAAGTTGGTATCTCAGGCTTCGTGTGGCGATGCTTTCGAGCCCCTTGCTAATCAATACTCGTTCTCAGTCTTTACAACTTACACCCTTCTACCTCTCTTGCTATTCGGGTCCCTGACTCTCCTTCTCCATGCCACAGCAGGTATCTTAAGGCTAGTCGGGATGAAAGAACGGGCCAACAAAATGCTTGGTACAGGCAACATACCACGCCGAGAGGGGGATAACCTCTGAGAAATGCAGAAAAAAAGTTAGTAGCCAGCACGCACCAGATAGGTAAATTGGTCAGACGGAGCAGTATTGAGAAATGTGTTGTCTTTGTTATTTCGAATAAATACGGAAGGCCTTGGTGAGAGATGGGCTCGCTTGATTGCAAGATAGGTAGCACGTCGGATTTGATAAGGTAACTTGGGTTGATCAAGGTCCCCTCGCAGTGAGGCATCACTAGGTACCTAAGGTACGCTGAATTTACAGGGTCTTCGTTCTGAACCTCCCGTTGTCCCCGCGGCTGATTGATCAAGTGCCCCGCGCGGGGTACCTGGACGGCCTGTTATTCTTAGTCTCTCGGAGGCTGGCACCAAGCCGTTGATTGGTGGCGACCGAGTTTCCCGATAACGATAAGGCCGCCAATTGACGCTTTGCCCATAAACATTTTTTTTTTCTCGCGACAGCTTCGCTTGGACGAAATCTTTAGCCCGGTAAAGCCTACCCAGTCGCAACCATGCACCACGTTGTCCAACCGCACCAATGGGTGTCTCTGAAGCTGCTCTCAGAAGATACGAAGGTGCTGCAGATTGTGCCTAATACGTAGGTTCATCAAGTAGACATTTGGTGTGACGACAGCTAACTCCTTTTCTCTTCTGCCTCCAGCACGATTTCGCTGGGTAAACTCGGCTCATTCCCTAGCAACCTCATCATTGAGCGGCCATTTCACATCACCTACGAGATCCAAGATAGACGGGACGGCGAGAACTTCAACAGACTGCGAGTCGTCCCTACGAGCGAGATTCACGCCGACGCCCTGGCCGACTTGAACGCCCAGAACACCGAAGAGGAGGGCACCACTCTTGAGAATGTCATTGCCGCCCCCGATGGCGCAGAGTTCGAACTAGTCGATCAGGAAAGCGGCAACGTCGTTGCCCATTCGCGACGTGAGATTATCGACGATGCCGCCCGCCAGACCTTGACCGCCGAGGAGATTGAGCAGCTAAAGCAGGGCAACACAGACGCCGGCAAGGAGATCATCGCAAAGCTACTGCTGTCGCATACCGCCATTGACCAGAAGACGGCCTTCTCTCTGGCCAAGTACAAGTTGCTCAAGACCAAGAAGTATATTCGGCGGTTCATGATACAACCACTTGACCCTCTGACGCTAGGCAAATGGCTCTTGGAAGAGAAGGATGCGGGAAAGGTGCTGGAGATGAGGGAGGAGATGATGGGGCTCTTGAACTCCTGGGCCAACGTCCACTTCGGCGGCGTATCCCCTACGGACAAGCCCGAGACTGTGACGGTTGACGGGTCTGGCATGTTGGACAAATCCGAGATTGGAGGTCGCTGGCTTGTGGTGGAGGACACTGGAGGTCTCGTTACCGCCGCCATGGCCGAGAGGATGGGCATACTATACCCCAAGGACCCCGAAGAGGTACAAGAAGTGGAGGATGCTACAGATGTTGGCAAGGAAGAAGCCAACGGAGTCAAGCCAGCAGAGAACACCGCCGCCACCGTTGACGACGCCGCGACAGAACAGACACAGGAGACAAGCACAGAGACTACAGTACAAGACTCGACTACAACAACAATGCCCGAGGAGGCCACAGCTGATGCCACAATGACAAACGACGGCGAGACGACAAAGCCGCAGCAACCCCGACGAAGACACCCGCCCCGTCGCGACGACTTTGAGGCCATGTTTGCCCCTACCAACACCTTGACGCTCATCCACCCCAATAGCCAGCCAAACCTCGCCCTCCTCAAATACTACAACTTTGACAGCACGAATCCAAACCCGCCTTACCCGCTTCATCCCCTCGCTACCAACCTATTGCCCATTTCATGGCTGCAGCTTTTGGAGCCCGAGGAGGATGTCACATATTCGACACCGCCCCCCGAGGTCTCGGACGAGGAGCTACACTCATGGAAGGCTAACCGGCGCGGTAACTACCACCGGAAGCGAAGACGTTGGGCGAGAACCCGCTACATTGTGGACTCGACGCGCGCTGGTGGGTTTTCCGGTCTCGTCATCGCCAGCACGATGGACACGGTGTCCATCCTCCGTCACACCTTGCCGCTCCTGGCCGGTGGAGCGCCGATTGCCGTCTACTCGCAAAGCATTGAGCCGTTGACGGAACTGGCCGATTGCTTCAGCATTGCCCGCCGAGCAGGCTGGTCGTCAAATCCTCCGGCCGAGGCAGCTGGAAAGTCCGTCCAGGAGTTGGAGCGATGGGAGGGTTCAGACGATTTCCCCATCAACCCGACTTTGCTCTTGGGCGCCAATGTCCAGACGAGTCGCGCGAAGCGGTGGCAAGTTCTACCCGGTCGTACACACCCCATGATGATGGGGCGCGGCGGGGCGGATGGGTACGTTTTTACGGGTTGGAAGGCAGTTCCGGCGGAGGGTAAGGTCGAGGCAAGAGGCAAGTTCAAGAGAAGAAAGGTTGAAGCATGAACAAAGCGAGCAAGTCCGGATACCGAGTAGACGTTGACGCACCATTGGTCGGTGGTCGAGACGAAAGACGAAAGAGAAAGGGATCCTCTGTCACCAAAAGGCTTGCATATAGATACCCTAGCATCCTCCTATTGAAGCTCATCAAGCTGTAATTGGAGTAATTGGCATCATCATATTGTCCTGGCTTATGCGCTTAAACATTGTCCCCAACCAAGGTATTCCCTTGTCTCTGGCGATTCTCCTTTGACGACCGGCATCACAACGCCTTGCCCATGAACTTTCTCTTGGTGAAGCTCAGCCACCATTTGCTCGGCTTTCCATCGCCGCCTTCTTCGTACACACGTGCCAGTAACCGGACTGCCAGCTCTTGGCGGACCTGGGACATGTACTGGCGGAGTTGCTCGGCGTCCTGTCTATCGCGCGGGGGCTCGTACATCTACATCAATTGTCAATGTCAAGAAATGCCACTGGACCTCGGAAGGCTGCCGTACCTGGTTCAGAGGCCATGCCGGGTCGCCGGGAATGGCGAAGTTGGTATCGAGGGCCACGTTCATGACATCCTTGGAAGCATCACGCACGCCGGCGCTAGGCTTGATCTTGGTCAGACAGTCGCTGACGAACCAGATGCCGTAAACCAAAAGGCGGTCGGCGGGGCCTTGAAGCTCAAAGTTGCGGAAGAAGGTGTTGGCGCGGAATAGGGCGAGGACCTCGTCGAGGATGTCGTAGCTTTCGCTGTCTGGGTCGGGAGACTCATTGGCGGGCAGAGGCGGATTGGGGAAGGGGAGAGTATAGGCCGGGCCGCGGGTCTTTGTGCGCAAGGGTAGCAGCGGGAAGTTGCCTATTGTGCGAGGGACGTTCGGGTCGGCATTGAACATGGAATTGTAGGCCTGGGTAGAGGTCATCGTCAGCTCGGTTTAGGCGGGTTGAGGAAGTAGGTGGAATTGGGCGGGCTGTGCCAGAGCCTCAGAGACAGAGAGAGCTTAGGCAAGCTATGGGATGGGCATCACATAGGTAGACATACCGGCATCTTGAAGAATAAGCCTGACCAGGCGATCTGTCTCGTAGATGTTAAGCTGGGCTTGATGAAGATTGGTCGCAAATGCAGTTGGGAGACGTCAACTGCACTGGAGATGGAGAGCAAGCGGCCGATGGTGGGGCGCGACACTTAGCTGACGGGGAGCGACTGACGTCCACCTCACTCACTGCCACTCTTCGAATGGACCTTGTGGCTCCTGAGGCTTGACCGCATCTACGGGGTGTACTTCAGCCTCAGACTCGGTGGTGGGGTTGAAATTTGTGGCGCAGCACATGACTACCGGTACCTATCTACAATCTTCCCATGCACGTGCCATGGATCCAGAATGGAAGGCATGACGAGTCAGGTGAGTTCAAGTCACGTGCTTTTGTGTGAGTGCTTCCATGATGACTCAGGCATTTCCGAAGCTATGCGCAGCCACAACATCGATGACATGGCTCATGTCCGGTACGTATCGCTGGAGGGGGCTGGTGCCTAAGATCACATGACTTCGCACTCTCCGCGTGTCACAGTTTCCCGGTTGCATGCGGGCCAAGAGCACCGGCAGTGGCAAGTCGCGCCCTTCCTCCCAAATAGGTGTGAAGTCGATCAGGCGCGCGTGTTCTGGCCCTTTGGTGGCCAAGGGTTGCAGGTTGGCGGTGGAAGAGGAAGGAGAAGTTGGAGTCGCGGGTGGACATCGAGCAGGCAGGCCGCAGGCACAGGCAGGCATCATCGCAATGGGGACGGGAATTGGGAAGGCACTGACAAAACGAACAGTCATGATGGGTCAATAAGTCTGCACCTGCCCAGTTTTTGCCGCCACACCACGGTGACCACACTGGATTCTGTCGGGCCTACCTTACCTTACCTTACCTTACCGTTTGGCTGCACTGGCACACACACACACAAAAGTGACAGCGCAACAACCAGGAAAATCAACGAACAAAAAAGTTGGAATATTTGACTCGCGCACCCGCGTTTCACTGCCCCTCCCTTCTCTCCCCCTTGTTCATATTGCTCTCTCTCTCTCTCTTCGGTTCTTCTCTCCAAGTCTCGTCGCTCTCTTTCGTCCCACCGGGCGCGTCATATCCACCACCAATAAGTCCCGTTTTCTCTACGGAGGACCGTCTCCTCAAGTCTCGGATGGGAATACACCAGTGACCAAACATCCCATCCTCCCTCCTATACCTTTTCTTTTTCCTCTGTCTCTTGAGCCGACAGCGACGGTTAAGCCTCAAACCCTTGAAAGCACCGTCGATCTCAACAGACTCTAGACAAATCGGTACCCAGCCACAGAGCACCACTTCTCTGACCGTACATCAAACTGCATACGGATATTCTCCGATCTCTCTGCGGATCCGGATCCTCTTTTCTCTCACTCAACACCGCGTCGCGCACCCAATTGCGCCGACTGCTGTCCGCCTCACCGAGTCCATCATAAAATCCACCGGCCATCACCCTCACCATTCCACACCCCCAAAAGCAAGAGAAGGGGCCATACGGAGTACTACCATCATCCCCCCGTCGCGCGTCAGTGCCCAAAGGCTCCAAGCTCAAGGTTCAACTGGACACCAGTCCCACGGCGCGACGCAAGGTCCCCCCCTAAAAAACCATACTACCTACATTGAAAGAACCAAAGGGAGAGCGCCACAACCCGATGCTCATTTTAGAGTGAGACCCCCCCAATCACTATTCCTTTATCGCCATGACCTCGTTGTTTTCCTTCCATCCACCTCGTCCCCTTTCACCCAATAATAGATCCTACCTGCATTCCTCTTCACCTAGACCCGAATCATGTTGACAAAACCACAGATCGGTATTCAATAGCACCAGTTTCGCACGACAACTGCGCAACTTCTTCGACTCCTCCCCCGCCAATATGCATCTCCCCAGCAGCGCCCCGACAGCCTCGTCAATGTCCTCGCCCGAGCCCATTCACGCGACGCCCCCGACTTCGAGTCCTATTCCTGCCATGCCCTCCCCCGCCAAACGCAAAAGAAGACTTCGTGTCTTCAGGCCAGACGAAGGGTCCCTCTACGACCAGATGTGGGATCATGCTGGACTCTCCCTCTTCGTTCGTCCCATCTGCTGGACTGAGCTGCACGTTCAACTCCTCGATGCCAAGTTCGTCGAGCTTCCTCCATGCGACACGCCAGTCCCTCCTCCTTCACCACGCGGCGCCCCCGTCTCCCCGTCGAAATGTCACATGAAGCCCTCAGTTGCGGCCTCAACACTTAGCAGAGAACTTACGGCCATGCTCGCGCCCGGCTCCACGAGAACCTTTTATACAAATTCCGTCCGCACAATCATGTCCACCCTCTATCCGGGGAAGCTGTCACGCGCCCGAACACAGCTTGATTTGCACCTCTATTTTGGCGGTCTAGTGTATCGCGATGCCTGTCGCGTACAGGTTGCTTGGGATGCGATGCCCTCGCGCAGCGGCTCGATCGCCTCGTTTGAATCCGCGTCAACGCGCCCAGCCGATTCCTTTACTGCTGTGCCGACGGGTTCTAATGGTAGCGCAAGCAACCTGAGCGGCGAACAGACTGCTTACGCTCAGTCGCAGCCTGTCCTCGCTTACGTTGGCAAGATGCAGATCGCGGCGACACGAAAGAACATGTACCGCGTGATTCAAGGACCTAACAGATCGTACAACGGGCCGGTCGAACGTCTACAACAGTTGCGCTCCAAAATGTTCGTTCCCAGCAACCCGACGCACGACCCGTTGCTTGTGGGCATCATGTTGGCCATGGCGCAGAGAAGGTTTTACGGCGAACCAAGGCCGTCAGCGAATAAGTGGGTTCCCTCACGGCCCATGGCTATCGGACTAGGAGAGCCTGAATTTTACGATGTGGCGGTACAGCTACTCACAAATGACAATGAGACATCCGAGTTCATCGTTTACAAGGCCACGGTCACGGCAGATCTACTTCGCAAGTTCCACGAGCCAACCAAGAATCCCCGTAAAGGCGCCGAAAAGACACTTGCCGAGAGAATCGGTGAGGTTGCATCCGAGGGTGGCATGCGCATCGAGTACACAAGAGTGCCTGTCTGGCCGATCCTCGGACTCAAGGAAAGATTGGGCAAGGCGCTTGGCAAGGACGTCGTGGGAGAGTTCGATGAGGACAACATTGAGACATGGGAGGAGGAAGCGGAGCGAAATCCCGACAAGCTCAAGCGACGAAGAGATCGCGAGGCCCTAGTCGAAGTGTTTAACGGCAGCTTCGAAGAAGAGGCTCCAGCCGACGGTATGCCTCTCAGTGGGAAACGAAGATGTTTAGTTGACGAGGAAAGCGGGCAGGTGGGCATGGTCGTCTGATGGAAGTTCACTGCCCTTGATCATTGCATAACGAAGCCACGAGGCGTTTTTAAGAGAAGCATTCATCGCATTTCTCCGAGGTCGCTACGGATGCGGCCGCGGTATGGGAACCAGGGATTTACTTCTGTTCATCGAGTAAATGGAGTTGTGGGATCAGCGGAGAGAATCATGACTGATTCTCGACCCGGATAGACGAGACGCATTTTGAACCCGGCAACGGTCAGAAGCACAAGAGTGTTTGATATTTTTTCCCCCTCCGAGAGATCCAAGTAAGAAGGGACACGTTTGCGATTTTTCCCGAACGGCTGCATGGGTTGTTGAGGCATTCAGATGGAAGACTTACGTTAGATTCCCCGACACAAGCGAAGAGTCCAGTCGACTCAGCTAGTGTCTGCAATCAGTGCTTTGCAATAAAATCAGTTCTTGAATACACGACGTTATATTGTCGGGCGGTCATGGAGTTGTACAAAATATTGACCAGGAGAGAGCCACGTCTTTCCTGAGTAAGGTACGTTATCAAAGCAATACACTACAAAAGGTCCCTCGTGATGAATTTAGGTAATGCGACCAAGACTGCGCTTTGAAAGGCGTATCATCGCGTTGACTCTTTTGTTCTCGCGCAGGACTTTATGTAGCAACGCCCACTCGATCCACCTGAATAGCGGCATCACTGTCTCACTCGGTACCACAGTCGGACAGTCTCTACCTGCTCGCAACCTCGGAATGTGTGTCATCGCCAATCTCCTCCGGGCCGCCGACACGCAGCGGACGCTGCCGGACGCCGAACCAAACACTTTTTCTTTTCCCTGTCACTACGGGTTAGTTCCCCCACACATTTTACGTTCGTCCAGGGTAATTAGACCCTTGACACCTTCACGTGCTAGTAAACCAGAAAAACTCTTGACAACACAAGTCTTCGCTCATACTTGACTTGGGGCGATTTGTCAAGGCCGAATCAAGAAGCAGAAAGCACCGCCTGGTGCGAGCGGTCTCCGAGACCATGTCTTGAGTGTACGAGATGAGGAGAGAGTTGAAGAAAGAGATTCTAAACTCCTTTTCTCTTTCGGCCGAGATGACATTCTCCTGAGTTTGCCTCAACATATAAGTATCGCTCACCTTGTTACACATGGCTAAATTTCCTTTCAACAACATCTCTTTGCCGCTCTATTCCTTCCCCTCTGGCCCTCCCTCTTCCCCCTTCTCTCTACGCTCTCTTACAGACATCTAGAACAACATGAAGATTCCTCTCAAATCAGTTCTGGCTCTCGTTCTTTTCCTAGCTGGTCAGTCAGCGGGCAACTCTGAGCACCATGACCAGGAACCTCGTGCTGCTTCGGCGAAAGTCGATGCGCCGGCCGGTACCTTCAAGGGACGATTATTTGGCTCCGTTGAGACGTTCTCTGGCATCCCCTATGCGAAACCGCCCACCGGACCGCTCCGCTTAAGGCCGCCTCAAAGACTCAATTCCTCTTTAGGCAACTTTGACGCGACAGGAACCGCAGCCGCATGCCCTCAATTTCTCTTGTCCACCGACAGCCGGAACATTCTTCTTGATGTTGTGGGCTCATTCCTTACGCTCCCAGTTTTTCAGCCTATTACCGGCCAGGAAGACTGCTTGACTGTGACTGTCCAGCGTCCTTCTGGCACATCGTCCGATGCGATGCTTCCAGTCTTGTTTTGGATATTTGGGGGTGGCTTCGAGTTCGGGTCGACAGCTACATACAGCGGGGCAAGCTTTGTCCGTGATGGGGCCGTCATGGACCGTCCTTTCATCTTTGTTGCTGTGAATTATCGACTGGGAGGTTTCGGGTTCTTGCCTGGTCGTGAAATCCTGAAGGATGGCTCAGCCAACTTGGGACTTCTAGACCAACGTCAGGCTTTAGAATGGGTTGCCGATAATATCGCTGCCTTCGGAGGTGATCCTGACAGAGTGACAATTTGGGGGGAATCAGCCGGTGCGATATCCGTTTTCGACCAGATGGCCCTGTATGACGGTGACAACTCCTATCAGGGTCGACGCCTGTTTCGAGGGGCCATCATGAACTCTGGCAGTGTTATCCCAGCTGACCCAGTTGACTGCCCCAAAGGTCAGCGAGTCTACGATGCTGTTGTCAAGGCAGCCGGTTGTCAAGGATCATCTAGTACCTTGGATTGCCTGCGCAGTGTCGATTATGAGACTTACATGCGTGCCGCAACAGCGGTGCCTGGCATCCTTTCGTACGAAGCTCTTGCTCTGTCATATGTTCCTAGACCAGATGGCACAGCACTGGTAGACAGCCCCGATATCATCGCAAAAGAAGGACGATACGCTGCAGTGCCTATGATCATCGGCAACCAAGAAGATGAGGGTACACTGTTCGCACTGTTCCAGCCTCTGGTATTGACAGCGTCGCAACTCGTCAACTACCTCTCAGAGCTCTACTTTCACAACGCTTCGACAGCGCAGTTGACCACCCTCGTCAATACATATGACCACCACATCTCTGCGGGGAGTCCCTTTCGTACAGGGATCTTCAACGAAATCGTTCCTGGCTTCAAGCGCAGGGCCGCCATCCTTGGGGATCTCGTCTTCACTCTTGCACGCCGCTCGTTTCTATCTGTTGCTCAAGCAAAGCACCCGGAAGTCCCAGCTTGGTCGTATTTGAGCAGCTACAACCACGGAACTCCCGTACTTGGTACGTTTCACGCTTCCGACATACTACAAGTCTTTCTAGGAATCTTCCCGACCTTTGCACGCCAAAGCACCCGGACTTACTATCTCAACTTTCTTTACAACTTGAATCCTAACGTCGGATTGGGCGGTTACGCGCAATGGCCGGAATGGAGTCAGGATCAGCAGCTACTCTGGTTTCTGAACGGTCGAACAGACTACCTCAAAGATGACTTTCGAAATGAAAGTTACAGGTTCATATATAGCAACATGCAGTCCCTCAATTTCAGGGATGATTCGGGTTTGCTGCCACGGTGGTCCCTTTGATACGTCGATCATTCATGAGCAGCACGCATGGTGTTAGACACAAGACGGGTGGTCGGCCTAGTTGTTTATCTTTGACAGGATTCTTCTATCGAAAGCGAAAGGGGTATTGCCAGCGCTAAACTATGTACGTAAATGAAGATATGTGTCCGGACAATAACTGTTTACTGGGTCTGGCTCTGGCGACCCCAACATGATTTGCTACGAAGCTGTGTTAATGACTGAGTTGGAAAGTTGAATGGGCAGCATACCTTTGAAAAGACATCGGCCTGACGGATACCCATCTCCTCCGCAATTTTTGCAAGACGGGCTTTGACGTAGATTCGTTGCTTTCTGGTCGCAAATCGGCTCGATCCAGTAGCTAGCAAGGGCCACATACAAGATACACCAGCTAAGCCTTTTGGCATCTCGGATGTCCCGCATGGGAAGTAGGGGGTACTCAGAGCATCACCCGTCCACCCAAAAAAGTACGGAGTGCTCGAGATAATGTCCGCCACTTGCTCAGTTCCGATCCGATTCGCGTCAATATACTCTTTCGTAAGAGTATGGTCACTCGGTGCGCATACCCATGCAATGCAACGTACAATGACCTGATTGAGCAGAAGTCGAGATACGTGGGTGTTGATGTGCTTTCCGGCAGCCCATACGTTCGGGTAATCGTAAATAGTTCCAGGAAACGCCGAAACGTAGCCGATCTTGTCCTCCGGAACTTCCGCAGCCGATCCTGAAATGACCTTCCTCCACGCTGGTGGGCACTTGTCGAACCATACACCGAGATCATCGTCCATTTTCCGTGCCCTCTGCAGAAGCTTCAAAGCTTTGTCGATTTTGTCGGTGGTCCGCGCCCCCTTCAGAAGACTGTCGGCCTCGCCACGGATGAGTGTCGTCTGGAGATTCAATACCAAAGCTTGGTGACCAACAGTGTCGCAGACGGCTTGCCGTGCCCACCAGGTCAAATCCTCCAAAGAAATATTGGCAAAGAAGGTGTATTGCCGGACCTGTTTTTACGCGTTAGACCACCGGTTTTCAATACAGCCACTCAGTTGCTTGTAAAAGTAAGACGTACCGATGTTGCACGAACAAATTCAAACATGCTCAAGCCAACGCCAGACGCAGTCTGTTGCGGTCCACGTAGCTTGACTATTGCTGTCGCCCCAGAGATATGCTTCTTGAAACCAGACATTTCAACGTCGTCTGAGACCAGTCCTTCGTAAAATGCCAAGAGAATTGCAGAGGCAAGGGTGGTGTCCTGCCTCACAGCTAACTTATCTTGCATAGCTCGAGTCAAGTCCTCTAATGCCTTGCTGTAGTGTAGGTGAGCCATCGAAGACAAACGTCGTGAGTTTGGCCTACCAGCCAGAGCGGCCATTGAAACAGCTGAGAAAGCGGACTGCAAAGGAGACGCTTGATAGCTGGGCATATTTAGTAGGGGTAGTACAAATGTGAGAATCCCTCTGCCTACTCCCGTTGGTGGAGCAAGCACGTAGTTTGCCAAAAAGTAACATGTCGCTTGTTGGTCGAGAGGCGTCTGCAATGTGTGCGGCATGCCATAAGTCCCCCCTTCAATGTCTTTGAATGAGACAAAGGTATCGGGCGCCTGGTTGCTGATGTACGATAAAGAAGAGGCGTATGACATTGAAGGCGACGCTTCAGAAGAAGACGAATTTGAATATCTATCAAACCAGTCGTCTTCTGTGATTGGAATGATTTGTTGTTTCCGTGGAGGTGGTGCTGCTGGCGGTGTCCATTCCATCACTTGTGGTTGGGTTTGGCATACGTTTTCCGCATCCTGTTCCGTCGCGCGACCCTCTCGAATAGCCTTGCGCAACGCAGCGGACTTGGCCTTGCGTATGGTTGATTGAGTCTCATCGCGAAGGTTGATTTCGAATGCATCCCGGTATCCTGGGCAAGTTCTTTTCGACTTGGCGCATTTGAGGCAGAAGGGCTTCGTCTCGTCACACTTAATCCTCCTCGCGCGGCAGAGCTTGCATGCCCTGCTTGGGTGGCCCGTATTAACCATCTTTGAAATACAGAAAAGCTGATGGTACGGTAGTACTGCTTTCCTTTCCTCGAATAGGTAGTGTATGCTATGCGCGAGATCCACGGCCAGTTGACGGTTCAAGTTTCGACGGGGTTTGTGTCATGTGGGCGAAACCCCCTATCAAAGTAGGAAATCCGAGGAGGAATGAGAGGGGCGGACGTGCTTCCCTAAGACATAAAAGGAAAACGGGCAGACAGAACCAGGCTCGTGTCAGACGCGGCCGAGGGCGGCTGTTGATGAACCTCGAGAACAGACTGATAGCCGTTGCTCCAAGGTGGAGGAAGCCGCACAAGGAAGTTGATATGTTTCAACTCTAAAACCCGCCCCGCTTGCTTTGGTGACATTCAGCAGC